GCATCGATTTTGCGTCGTTTCCCGGCTCATCAATGAGAGCACATTGTTTCTAGCGAGTAGCGCGAACGATTTTCCAGAGCAAGAGCCGAGCGAAACGATTCGTGCGAGTTAATCTTAGGGCTTGACCGGCAATAAAACCGGACCTTACATTCCTGGGTAATGCGTCGTCCGCTATTTTAAGCCCGGGGTTTAATAAACTTACGTCGCTTAATTAGAGCAACATTTCTCCTAGCTCGTCTTCGCCTGCGTTTTCATCCGCCTTTTAACCGACCAGCCAGACGTTCGTCCGCTATCGTATGTATTTCTTCGCATATCGTATACACATCATCGCGTATCGCGATTGGGCGTGTGATCCGCAATGAAAATATTAATACCTTTTAATCCGTCCTTTTTCTCATAGTTTACAATACATATTTGTCATAAATAATTGATTTCGCAAATTTAATTTAAAAAATATATATATGTTATATAATTTATGATTGAATAACAAATGAAGCAAAATATAATAATATTGTAATTGTATTAATATAATTAATTCAAAATGTTAATTATCGTATCTGGTTATTTATAGCGTCACATCATTGTAGAATAATTGTTTCGCAAAATCTGAGTCGGACCGTCAATCGACAGGGGGGGTTATAATTTACCGACAATAAACACTATATGGTAATTTTAAAAATAGAGACTGGAATGTATATGCTTGGCACATCATCGTCTAATTTTAGGCCGCCAGATGGAAAGGAATTAACACGATCTTTCACGTATAGAAATATTTTTGTTCCGCGAACGTAACATTTTGCGAACGCGCGTTCACGCATCGCGGGTAATACGTAGGGGGGAGGTTTGCATGAGTTGCGATTTTTCTGCTTTTTCCGCTCGTTCCTTGTGTACTCGCGTGTAATACGCACATCGAAGTCGCACGATTCGTATCCTCTGTCTCTACCTTTCAGTCTCCGCTTCTCTTTCGTTTCCATGGGCTTGCCATGTGCACATGAGGTTACATGTAATCCGTCCAAATATCGTATTGCTCCATACACGCCTTTGCGGGATAAGCCGACGAATAATTGCGAAACATTCGAGATCATACTCTTAGCCGATGTTTAGTCGATAATTTTTATTCTACATCTAACAATTTATAACATACACAATACCTATGAGTTTTTTTTTGTTTTTTTTTAAATAATTTTTTCAGCGTTTAAGAAACTGGAAAAATTTGAGGCTGAATCAAAGATAAACAAGCTGTTGGTTCTGTTTTAATGGTGTAATATTACATCTGGATATTCATATTTGATCTTTTAACGAATACTTAATCCAAGTCTAAATTGGAAAATCTATCCAGCCTTGATAAATGTAATGTTTTGACAAGCACCAGCATTGAATTAGTATTCTTTGTAAGATCAAAGCGCTGTTAATAGCATTTCATTACGCCGTTTCTGTACGCATTTTACGCGCCGCGGGACTAGTTACACGGCGGCTAGTTTTAGAATGCTATTTACATCCGTCATGCGTATGTCTTCTTTTCAGTTCGTCTTTCGAATTTCTTCTTGCCCTCTCGTTAACACTCCGCTCCCGTTATTAACGTTATCCGTTAATAAAACAACGCTCGGGACGTCGCGGCACCCTCGACAGTTTACGTGTTCATTTTCCTCGTACGCGCAAAGTACTTTCTCTTTTGTCTTCGATCGTTTCTATACTTCGCTTCCGTCCGTTCGTAGTCGTCACATTTCTTTCTACCCGTGACCACCACGCGAGCTTACGTGCGTACAGTGCCCGTGAGCTGCGCAATGTGTATACGCTCAGGCCATACTATGATACTATCAATGAATGACTGACTGTCTGGCGTGTGTGACGTGGCCACGCACATTGACCATAATAACTTATCTCTCGCTCCTTCTCTTTCTTCCCTTCTCCCCGTCTATTTTTTTTTTTTTTTTTTATTGCTCTCCTGAATGTTTGTCGCCGTTACGCAAGCACGCGACAAGCGTGTTTTTCTGATTCCTTCTCCCGCAGTTCTTCGTCGAGTTTCTTACTGCCGCAAGAAGATTGCCATTTGAAAAATTGTTTTCCACGTTTTGCCCCCGTCTCTCCCCCACGGTGCACGTTGGAAACGTACAACGTGTTTCCTCCTGTCAAAAATATATCGACGTTTAACATTTCCATAGAAGATATTAGATGTCAGCATATTTCCATTCCTGGAAATTTATCCGTGTGGAAATAGTTTGGATGTAATTACCTTCTAAATTTCAATGATATAAAAGAGGATTATATGATGTTTTGATATATATTTATTGTTTACAGTGTTGCTGCAATTTATTAATCATAGAAAATAATTATCCGGACAAGTGATATAATTTCAGATAT